CCATTTCCCCAGCAGGGCTTCCCCTGCTTCCCTGCAAAGCGGCAGAGGATTCACCGCTCACCACGCCATTCCCCACTGACTCCCCCTTGCTTGACACCTTGCCCCCGCTCCTCCACCCCTGCCTGCAGGCCGGCGGTATCCCCGGAATAACACGATTTCCCCAGCCAGCCCGTCACCAGCAGCTGCATGGGGCTTCTCCCGCCTCCCTGCAAAATGGTGGAGGGTTTGCCACTCGCCGCGCCATTCCCCGGAAACCCCCCCTTGCCGAACGCAGTGCGAGTCCCGGAAGACCTGTCACAGGGGCATACTCCCAACTCAATCCCCCTCCCCTCTCTTCTCCTCCCCTTCCCTTCCCCAAAGCCAAACACCTCCCTTCCCTGCTGTAACCCAGTCCCCTTTCTCTCCCAAGGTTATGTCCGGGTCCCAACAGACACCACCGCTTGAAACGCAACCCCCACCTTTTCCATTATTTTCAGTGGGAAAATTGACCCCGCATAACACGTTTTCACTTAACAAGATCATTTTCTGAAACATATCTATAGTGTTAAATGAGGAATTACTGTACAAAGCATCCTACATTAAAAGATAAATCAATTGAATATTTTACAAGAAAAGGTGAAGGTATCAATATATCCTGTTCTGCTATGAAAGTGTATGCAAAAAGCTCTCAACAAGCTTTACAAACGTCTTATGAAATCGCACAAATGATAGCAAAAACAAAGAAACCACATACCATTGCTGAAAAGCTTGTTATTCCGGCTTCTATCAGAATCGCTGTAATTATGTTTAGTGAAAAAGAAGTCAAAATTAAAAATATCGCACATTCAAATGATACAATAAGAAGAATTGATGAGATGATGGAAGACATAAGAAAACAAATTACTGTAAAAATTATTCAGAAGAAACAGTTCACTTTACAACCTAATGAATCAACAGATATTTCCAATTGCACACAATTAATGGTGTTTGTCAGATACATTAATGATGAAGATGAAAAAGAAGTGAGCAAATATTCTGCTGTAAAGAAGTTGACATTAAAACAACGGGGGAAGAAATTTTTAACTTGTTAAATGAACAGATTTGAAATATCGATCATCATGGGAGTGGTGCATACCTGTGTGTACAGACAGAGCAGCAGCAACGGTAGGTTAACAAAATGATCTTAGTGCTCAATTAAAAACTATAAACTTCAATAAAGTGTACTCATTGTATCATTCATAGAGAAGCATTGGCTTCAAAACAGCTAAATGAATATTTAAACTCTGTGTTAGAGATTGCAGTGAAGACAGCTAACCTTATAAAATTGTGGGCTCTAAATTCACGTCCTTCTCGATCGCTATGCCATGATATGGGATCTGAACATATTACTGTATTACTTTATTCCGATATTCGATGGTTGTCATGTGGAAGATTGTTCAACCATCTATTTGAAGGCTGAAGTTGAAGTTTTTCGTACAGACATTAAATCCGAATTAGTACAATATTTTCAAGACGAATTATGGATTTGCAGATTAGCCGACCTTTGTGACATATTTGATAAAATCAATAACTTGAACCTACAGTTACAAGGGTTTAATACAAATATCTTAATCTTGCATGATAAAGTACAAGCATTCAAAAAACTTAGCTTTCTGGAAAAATAATGCTTTATCTAGAAATTTTGAGTCATTTCAATATCTTTCAGAATTTTGTGTGGAAAATGAAATTATTTTGGATGAACATATCAAAACATCAATAAAGGAACATTTGACAAATTTGGAATTAAATTTTGAACAATATTTTCCAAGCTTTGATGAAGCTGAACACATGCAGAAGCTTTAGATTTTGAATCCGTTTGATGACAATGCTATTGAGAAAGCAGGGATTTCAGAAGAAATGAAGGAGCAACTTTTTGAGCTTTCTACTGATAGTGTACTAAAAATGGCAACATTCTTGTGTTCTGGCAGAAAATGAAAGGTGAATGTAAACAACACATGCAGAAGGCCTCTGAGGATAGAACAAGAAGCAATGGGCTTAAACTTCAGCAAGGGAGGTTTAGGTTGGACATTAGGAAACATTTCCTAACTGTCAGGGTAGTCAAACACTGGAATAAATTGCCCAGGGAGGTTGTGGAATCTCCATCTCTGGAGACAGTTAAGAGTAGGTTAGATAAATGTCTATCAGGGATGGTCTAGACAGTATTTGGTCCTGCCATGAGGGCAGGGGACTGGACTCGATCTCTTGAGGTCCTTTCCAGTCCTAGTATTCTGATTCTATGAACTGAGTAACACAGAACTCCTCCCATTCACATCAACCTATTTATGTGAGAAAAGTTTTTGGCTATGACTGAATTAAAAACTAAATTAAGATATCGTATGTGTCCAGCAAATGATTTAATTGTGGCACTCAGCAGTTTGAAACCTAGGTTTGAAAATTTAATTTCATCCAAACAAACTCAAATTTCACATTAAATTAATTATCATTTTTTTGTAAATTTATTGATCACTGTTGATATTTGCATTAAAATACATATGTGTGTATGAATATATATGAATACAAAAATTGGACTGATTTTATTATCCTTTTTGCACGATCATAAGTATGATGCCAAGTTTATTGCCTATAGGCAAGTTCTTCCAACCAATCAGTTATGATTAAGTTGTTTAAACAAATGTTTTGCAATGGTACAAAAAATTTTGTTTGTCTGAAAATTGTAGGTACTGGGGCTACTTACAATTTGTTTTAAAAAAAGGAGTACTTTATAAAAAAAAGTTTGAGAAACACTGATCTAGCCCAGATCCTGTCTTCCAGCAGTGGCCAGTGCCAGATGCCCTAGAGCCGTGGTCACCAACCCGTTGATTGCGATCAACTGGTCGATCGCAAGGCATTCGGGCAACCCCACCCTCCCATTTTTCCCCCACCCTCGAGAAGCCCCACTACCTACCTCTAGTGTAGTGCCGGCTTCCCTTGAAGTGGACGGAAGTCCTTCCTGAAGCCCGCGTCATTTCAGGGAGTTCCGGAAGTGCGCGGGCTGCTCCTCTCCCACAGCTCTGTTCAGTGCTGGGAGAGGGGGCATCAGCCCTGGAGGAGGAGTGCGTCGGCTTTCCTGCGCCACCAGCGCCGCAGGGGTGAGTTGAGCGCAGGGGTTGGCCCTGGGGTTTGGCCCTGGGGCAGGTGCCCGCGGGGGTTGGCCGTGCTGCGGGAGGAGAGGGCGGGGGTTGGCTGCTGGAGGTTGGCCGGGCCGGGCCAGGCTGTGCCATGGAAAGGGGGTTTGGCTCCGGGGGAGGCGCCAGTGGGGGTTGGCCATGATGCAGGAGGGGTTAGCTGCGCTGCGCTGAAGGAGGGGGGGTTTGTCCCCGGGGCAGGGGCCTGCGGGGGTTGGCCGCACTGCAGGAGGAGAGGGGATAGGCCGGGCCGGGCTGTGGAAGGGGGGTTTGGCCCTGGGGCAGGAGGCTGTGGGGGGTTGGGTCTGCCACGGG